CAGTGACCGAGTGAAGCCGACCGTAGTTGAGCGTGTGCCTGCTGTACTACTGTATGTCAAGGGTGTCATCCCAACCAGATAGACATACATTAGATTTGATAGACCACAAATCCTCGTGAAAGAACCTTAATTCCTACCTATCCTTATTTCCTATTGAAATTAAAAAAACATCCTAATTTCAATGGAGAAGGCGGTTGGGTACTATCACCTGCTTGGGACACTATAATTAATAAAATTAAAACTAAACCCAAGCATACCACTGCAAGACTTAAAGATAGAGTAAGTTCAATCTGCGTAGATTGGACTATAAAAGTAATAATAAAAAGCTGAAGGTACTCCATGTTAATACTGACATTGGGATGGCAGTCACCTCAGTCCCCCTTGACCATGGATGCTATAAAGCACCTGAAACGTCGGGAATTAAAAGTTAAAGAAATTAAAAGCAATAAAATCGGTAAAAGTAGTCGTTAAAAAATAAAAACTTTTATATCATAAAAATCCCGACTTTTTTTAAACCAATTCCTTAACCATTTCATTATTTTAATTGCATATTATCATTTCCATATGCTTTTATATGTGGGCACCCATGGCCGAAGTGTCTATGAACATTGGGCATCCTCCTTTATATGGTTTTGCTATGATGCAAAAGTTACCAACGGGGAACTTTAAATTTCTAAGAGAAAAAGAAATTAATCAATTTGATGTAATGAGTGTGCCTGATGATAGTGATATTGGATATATTCTTGAAGTAGAATTGCAATATCCAATTAATGCAAAATACATGATGATCATTTAGATTTACCATTTGCAACAGAAAAGTTTGCTCCGACAGGAAGCAAACATAAAAAATTAATAGCTAGTTTGTACTATGTAAATATGTTTTTCATTATCAGCATTTAAAAGAATGTTTATGTCATGAACTTATTTTGCTCAAAGTTTTTAGGATATTGTCATTTAGCCAAAATGCATTTTTAGCACCATATATTTTATTAAATACAACACTTAGACAAAACGCTGCTTCAGAATTTGAAAGAGATTTTTTTTTAAAAACAAAACAATTCTATTTTTGGAAAGACAATAGAGAGTATGGAAAGATACATCCAATAAGACTAATAGACTATGTAGAGCTGAAAAATATGTAAGCGCTCCTAATTTTAAAAATTTGTCAATAATTTGGGAATCCAGTTAGAACTAACAAAAGTTATCCTTGATCACCCAATTTACATTGGTTTTAAATTCTGGATTTAGCTAAGAGTCATTTATATCATTTTCATTACTCTATAATGAAACGCATGTATAAAAATTCGCTGCAACTCTGTTATACTGATACTGATAGTCTGCTGTATCTAATAAATACAAATGATTTTTATGAAGACATGAAAAAAAATATAAAATATTTTGATACAAGTAATTTCAAAAACGATCAGTATGATATGCCTAAAGTCAATTGTAAAATTCCAGGGTTTTTCAAAGACGAAATGGGTGGTGATATTTTTTCATGTCTTCATAAAAACGATCAACTACTTTATGATAATATGATCAATTCTACGATCTAGCCAAGAAATATTATATAAAAATCACTTTGATTGAACTACTATTAAAATATAAGATAGTGAGAGTTATGCAATAATTGCAGGCAGCGTTCCGTTTTTTATAAATTAACAAAATAAAAACGTTATCAATTTAAATTAAAACACTTTTGAATAAAAATAATAAAAACCTAAAAAATACGTGAGAATTTTCGAATTACTTTATGTTATAAATGTAATTATTTAAACATATCATTGTAAGACATTATATAAATTTATGCTGTAAAATATGCACACTAATTTATGAATTTATTGTAGCTTAAAATCAAATTTAAACTATAATTATTATATAAATGTGGTATTTATTTAAAAACAATCGTGCTAATAACTATCCTAACTTACAACTCACAGAAAAATATACAATAGAAAATTAACATCTGTAGTAAGAAAAATACTTACACCTTCTTTTTTAAGTCCTATACTCAAAAAAACGTATAATAACTAATTATAATAGTAGTATCGTAGTATACTATACCTTCTTTTTTGTCCTTTTCTATACTATAAATTAAATAAAACTAGTAGTATATATGTGTAATACTAAAGTAGTGATACTTATACCTTCTTTTTTAAGTCCATACTCAAATAAAACGTATAGTAACTAATAATAACTAACTATAAAATTAAATAAAACTTATAAGTAGCTAATAATAATAGTAGTAATATTTTTCCCAAATATAAAAATAAAATAATATTTTATTAATAATAGTATTCTTTAGTAAGTATTTGTAACTGGAAATAAACGTATAATAGCCTATAAATTGCCCCAAGACACTAACTATCTACGTACAAAATTTCATAAAAATCCGTCCAGTAGCTTTTGTGTGAATCGTGAATACACAGACAGACAGGCAGGCCCTTTAGTGTCCTTAATTTAACACGACTTTTCTACATATTTTTTTATAAAATACAGATATAGATTGTAAGTACGTAAAAAGATTTCAATTGACATATATGCCTACTACTAGGCTAGCAAAATTAGGCCGGTTCTATTTTAAAATAACCCGATTTATAAAAAATAAAGAACAAACCTGAACTGATTTAGAGGTGTTACCAAGGTGAGTACAAGGAATTTTTTTATTTATCTTAATGATTTCTTAAATTTACGCGAACACTACACATTGAATAAAACTAAATTTACGGATTTTATCGCGTTTATTTAACTGATTTTACTTATTTTTAATTCCCGACGTTTCGGGTGCTTTACAGCACCCATGGTCACGGGGGGGACCTTCAGTTTTTTAATATTAATTTTTTTCGTTCCTATTTACGCTATTACGATATTTTATTTATCTTTTTCGAAATCAAAGCCGCATTTATTAGTTAAGGTCATTGAATTAAGATGACACGTTTGTACGTGGTAGAGCCATGCTGCAGTTATATTGGTAGTATAGTTGTAGCACAAATGGGCTCGACCGGGGAAGGACCACGCTCTCACAGAATACCAGCGTAAAATAGTGGCTTAATGCTACTGTGTTTCGTAGCGTGAGTGTAGAGAACCGGAGACCCTTTTTACTGGAAATGGGGCATTCCATCTTAATCCTCACGGGTGACAACTCATCTGCATTTTGATTCGTGATCGAAGATAGATCTATGTAGATGTCTATGGGCCACAGCAACCACTTACCACCAGGTGGACTGTGTGCTCGTTTGTCACCCTGTCGTATAAAAAAAAATAAAAAAGACAATAAGAAGTTAAGGTGGACAAGTGATCTTTACATTTTGTTATAACTATTTCATTAGTCGTGGAGTAATTTTATTTAGGGTGATACAATATTAATGACTTATCTTCTCAATTAATTAATAACCTTGGTTCCTTGTACTTATCGCCACGTGGGAGCACTCGTGTAAGCTGACAAAAACCCAAAATGTCGGGAATTAAAAATGAAATAAATTTAACGCGATAAAATCCGTAAAAGTAGTTTTACTCAGTATGTTGTTTTATTTATTTATTTGAAATCTGTATTTATGATCCGTTGTAGATCCAACCCCTCGAAAATTCACTAAATTAATGAGATCAGCATCAGATCGACCATGTCTAATAAATAAAATATTTCAGAGATATTTTGCTTTAAAACCAAAGTGACAAACTAACAGTCATTCTGATTGTAAGTTGCTACTGCAGTTAATGGTCACTGGCAGCCCACTTCCAACTAAGAAGGTTACATGTGCGTCGTCACATCTAAGGACAAGTAGGGGATGCTTCACAGCCTGTACATATAACGCCTCTGTATGCCCTTCAGACCGGAACACAGCGGCGCAAGTAGGTATTGCTATCTAGCGACGGAAACAGGTTCATAGGTATTATCTATGATGAAGGATGCCAAGGTGGAAAAGAAGTCTTGCTTATATGAAGTCCACCAACATATACACTCAGAAATGAGAGGAGTCCCGTGCCAAATAGTAGGACGTAAAGGGGCTGTAACTTTAACTACTTAACTAATCTTTATATTTTATTATATACGATAAATATTTAAATGTTTCTTATTAAATAAAAATGATTTTTTTTCATAAAGTTTTTCTTTTTATTTTACTCAATTAGCCTGTCACAACAGTTCACCGCTCCACCTCCACTCTGCCGCTGCAAGACGAACCCCATAATGATTATGAAAAAAAGACCTGTCTACCCACCGCCGGTACTGGAATATTACATTTGGTATAAACCTAAATAAGAGTGTACATTTGCAGTGCAATGCTACAGCGTATTTTGGCTGCGAAGAGTAGGCACGACCTGAGACAAACCACACTCACCAACGTATTTCACGTCGCAGCGAACCGCATTGTATATTGTAAGTGACGAGAACGGATACTATTTACTGATAACGAGGTATTTCATCTGTTAGCTGAAGGATTATCGTCAGTGTTTTGATTGATAATCGATGATAGATACAGGTGTTTATTTATAAGTTACAACATCCATTTAGCGTCAAGTGGACTGTGTGTTTGTTTGTAATCCTTACTTAAATAAAAAATAAAGGTGATCCGACGCGCTGCTTTATCTGTCAGGAAATCTCTCGATTATAAAAAAAATCCAAATTTTAATTCAAGAAACTTGTTGATTATCCTGCATTTTTCACCAAGTCACCACTATATCCTATACTTTGCTTACTACCGATATAATGCTGCCACTCGAGAACCTTTCTTCCTCACAGGGAAACATACTCGTCAACAACTTCCAGCATAGTGCTCGCAATAAACTACTGGCTTAGGTGTGACATGTACTTGCTTAATATTATGATCGTTACCTTGTCTATCTTATCTTAAATCCGTTGGAAAACGCTATTGAGGTTATTGAGTATAATGCTAAGGTCCTCCAACGATTCTACAACTTGTTGTTTAAATTGTTAAATATTTATAAGGAAGCATACAAAAATATTATAAATTATTAATATTTTATTGAAATTTAAAATTTATTTAATATGGTTCAGACAGAAACTCGCAGAAATCTATACTTGTGTTTAAGAATGGTGACAATTTGTCTTCGAACTCCTTCCATGTATAAATTCCATCTGCGCAGATAGATCGAATAGGTTCTTCATTTAAATAGAAGACGACATTGTAGTCGCTCACCTCGTTGTCCACGCATCTGTAATAAAACAGTTCCCCCATGTTCATCAATATCATCGTAACCATCGCATTGACTTAATTGTAGTTCTAAAATCGTTGGGCGTAATGACATTTTTTTGTTATACTGACAACTTTAGATTATGTACTTGTCGGAAATAAAATGTTAAGGCACTTCTTAGTATCCTGTCACTAGGTTAGGTCGTGTAAGGACTCCTAAACAAAAAGTGACGTTGGTCCGTAACTTTGAATCATGTGTATTTTATAATATGTTTGAATTATAAAATATGTACATATTATATAAATTAAATACCAATTTTTGTTAAACTTATACTCCTTTATACAAAAAACCATCTTATTAGAAACGTTAAGGTAAATAAAGCTTATTAAACGTTGTTAAAAATATGTTTTTTTTGGGATCGAATATGTTTTTGCCCCAACATCAAAGATATCCTTAGTACTATCGTCTGTCTTCGTTTTCGGGAGCGTTTCAAAAACACTCGGTATATAAATATGGCCACCTTCGATTAGTCATTATTAAAAAAAATGCTTTGCTGTATTTTATGTATTTTATATGAAATAAATTGATGTTATTAGATCAGTATATCACATTATTTGAGTTGATCAATACAGTAAATATTTGAATAAATTCTTAAATTTAGGATAATATCAATCGAATAACAAATCGAATTATGTAAACAGTTTATAATTTCTCACGTCACTCATACAAACTGAGCGTAATTAAATTTTAATGAGCAAATACATTTTTTCATTGTCATTTATATAAGATCAATAATAGCTATAATAATTATCTTATAAAATTAAATTCTTCTATATGACGTATATTAACGGTAATGCTCAAATTTTGTAATGTGATGTAAAGTGAAAAATAAGTAATTATATCAATATATTAAATTGCGCGCACAGAGGAGAGTGAGATTTGGCATGGTTAAAGTTCATTTAGAGAAGGAGTGCAGAAATCTAAAATTTATATATAATTTGTTTTTTTTTTTTAAATTGAATTAGGGTGACATACGAGCACACAGTCCACCTGATGGTAAGTGGATGCTGTGGCCCATAGACATCTTCATTTATCCTCGATTAAGAATCAAAATGACAAGACGACAACGACAGATGCGATGTCACCCCTGAGGACTAAGATGGAATGCCTCGTTTCCAGTAAAAAAGGGTCTCCAGATCTCTAAACTCACCATACGAAACACAGCAGTATTAAGCTGCTATTTTAGGCTGGTATTCTGTGAGAGCGTGGGGCTTTCCCGGTCAAGCCGACCCATTTGTGCTACAACCATAATATAGCTGCAGCGTGCCTCCACCACGTATAAAATGTCTTGCAAAGACATTAAATTTAATAAAACCAAATATTTATTGTTTATATTCATACTGCCAATATCAATGACATCATAGTATACAGTAAAACAGTCAGTCCGTAGTCAAATAATTTTAAAACGTTGCTTACAAATAATTACTTCCTTCTTTTGTGTGATTTCAAATATTCCTTTTTCAGTTGTCTGTTGAGTGCATCTCAAAAAAAAACTATCAACGCGGTCGAATTTACGATGACTAGGCGACCACAAGTTTGTATACATTTATAGTTAAGAAAAATTAGTGACAAACCTGTTTAAAACTGCAACAAGGTTCCCAGCGAAAGCAGCCATGAAACTAGTTCTCCATTTACGTTCACGTTCTCTATTGGCACCGCTCAAAGGCTTACTATCCTTAAATAATTCCAGTGCTGTACAAATCGTCTCTAACATAGTCGCGTGAGTAAAGTAAGCTGTGATCTTCTTTTTTCCGCCGTCTTTAGTTCTTCGGAAGTTATTTAATAAGTCCATTAATGGAATATGGCCCAATACCTTACTTTTAGGAAATCCATAACCGCTTATATAGTAGCCCTTTAAATCTTATATATATTCTAAAACCTGCAAATCATCTTTTGTAAAGGGTGCACACCATGGGCTGAGCTTATTTTTGATTCCAGACCACGTATGGCGACAGAGATCTTATAAAGCTGTGATGTTTGTGTCGGTGAGAATATAATCAATACCGCTTCTTCGTTGTATTCTGTCTTTAGCCTGAAATTTATAAATAGAATAAAATAAAATATAATCATTTCTATACAAATTACCATTACTTATATTGATAGTTAGTTCTTTTTTTATAAGATAGGGTGACATACGACCACACAGTCCACCTGATGGTTGCTGTGGCCCATAGACATCTACATTTATCCTCGATTACGAGTCAAAATGCAGATGCGTTGTCACACATGAGGATTAAGATAGAATGTCTCGTTTTCAGTAAAAAGGGTCTCCGGTTCTCTACACTCACTACACGAAACACAGCAGCATTTAGCTACTATTTTACGCTGGTATTCTGTGCGAGCGTGGACCTTCCCCGGTTGAGCCGACCCATTTGTGCTGCAACTATACTACTAATATAACTGAAGCATGGGTCTACATTGGTTCTTCTTACACTGGTTGGGAAATTACCCGATAAACCAACAAGAAACCCAGCGGAAATATATGCAACTTAAAATTTTACTCATTATATATAATTTTTTATGACTTGAAATAGAATCATACTAGCAAGCACCTAATCCCTAATAATAACCCATGGTAATAACCCACTATGTACAGTTTTTTTTTCAAAATATAACATGTTGATATTGTGAGAAAACGAAGCTATTGATTGATATTTTTGAAACTAAGCATTGCTTCATACATATACAATTTTGGTAAGTACACACATTGCCAAAACCTTGCTTTTATTTCGATTCTAGGTTACATACCCTTAAAAATATGCTATAAAACTATTTCCGCGTTATATTTTATATCATAACAAAATTATACAATCTTTAATTTAATAATCACAACGGTGAATGCATCGGCTAATTTGTTTATTATTTTATCTCAAGATCTCATTAATCATTATAAAGGATTTTTCTGCACATCTCTGATAATTTAAGGTCAAGTCAAGACTGTCGCATATTTTTTGATGGAAAGACTTTTTAGTAGTTGTATTAACGACGAATCCAGCCTCCAGCCCCACCTCATCATCTCAATTATTTCCACCGTCGTACGCCGGCTTTAGTAGGAACTTAAGTTATAGGAAGGATCTGTTTGTCGTTGCTTCCTATCGCCAGTCTGGGCATGTAAATTTTACGTTAATGCGATGGTTATGTCACAATTAATCGCAAGCCAGAAGATTGAATACAGCCAGCGAAAAAAGAGATTTATCTCATTAAGTATCCAGTTAATATTTTTATTTCCTCGCTAATTGTCACCAATTCCTTGCTATTTTTAGAGAAATAAAATTGAGAATATGGTCGGGAGGAAACTTGTATGAAGGACACAATATTTATACAAATTAATTTTAACTAACCTGCGTCTTTTGTCCACCTCAAAAACGCAGGTTAGTTTAAAATTTAAATTAATATAAAAGAATCATGACACTAGAGTATATAAAGAAATTTGTTGGTTTTATATCGAAAAATCATAATAATACAGAATACAAAGACTTTTTGTATACTGTATATGCAATAAATATTGTTTATGCAATACAATAGTTTAGGTTTACAGTATATACGACCGTCATGTGTAAATAGTAGCTCACTGCCATAATAAATTTATAACTACTAAGCAAACTTACAACAAGAAAGTTCTTGAAACGGAAATATTATAATTAATAATAAAATGGAAAAATTATGCGACAAATCCTTAACTTTTAGATCATCATTTGTATCATAAAATATACAAAAACATGATTCAATCTTAATCAAAATATACTTTGAATAGTGTTTTGACTATAAACTTACAGCCAGATAGTCCGGGTTAGCTTTTTACTTTTCCGCTTCAGCTAACGTATTCGGGTTTCTTAGCACATCCATATGGTACTTTCCGCATGTCAGATAGGGCTGAAATATTTATAAAATGTTTTAGATTAGTTCGACCGTGTAAACTCGTTAATCAGAATAACTGAGTCACTGAGTGGTTCAAAACATAGCCGGAACCAATATTTTTGTAAAAACTATAGGCGGTACGGGGCCTACCAAAGCTATAGAAAAAAGAAGCAGAACAATTGAATTTCATCAAGTCTACTTTATTATTTTGAGAAAAAAATGACGCTAAAATTTTTAAAGACTTACAGCCATAACATCAGATACAGATAGAGCGTTTTCAATACCTACGTTTCTGCTTTTAAGCCCTTTTACAAACGCTTTTGCACTATTTTCTAACTTGATTCCAAAAGATGGACGAAAAGTATAACTATCCTTTTCTAAATTTCCCAACAATGCCGGGAGAGCTTCCTTAAATCGTTTCCCAATCCCCAACAATTCTTCATAACCTTCCGGAGTAAGATGGTTATAATCACTAAATATTTTTTATCTATAGACCAATTCCTCAAGTCCTCTATACCTTGTGCGCAAAGAGAACTATGTCCTTTTTTATAACTTGAAATAATATCATCTCTTATAGCCAGCGCATCCTTCATTTCCCTCCCAAAATTCATTGAAGGATATCTTTTTCCATGCCTAAATAAGCCCCATATACTAATAGGCTTGCATCCTGTAACAAGAAATAATGGGTATTTGAATTGAACAAATGTGATTCAGCCTCACCTTATAATTTTAATACTGGGTCCCTTATGTCGCCTCTGATCGAGTCGTATGAAGATTTAGAAGCAAAGTATTTGTAGGGACAACCACTGTTCCAATAACAAAAAGAAGCAGTACATGAATTAGATATTACTGAGATCGTTATAACGAAAAATATTTTCATAATGAACACGCAATAATATTTATATTTTTATAAAAAGTACGATATGGCTATGAAAGACTTGATGTATATATATATATTTTTATGTACGATGTGAACTTGTAAAACAAGAAAGAGCCCTAGGTGTTAGAGCGGTATAATAAAGATTGGTTATTAGTGTCCAAACCCTGTGTGCTTTGTCCCAATGTATTTTGTACGCTCGAAACTGGCTTGCCATAATAATTACGTCGGCAAAGGGGATGCAATAATCCATCGCGTGACGTATCACACGTATTCACGCAGATCGACCGATCTTCAGACGAGAAACAAATCTGAAGCCAAAGATATGACGCAAAAAAATGCCGCATCTCATCCCAATATGCTGATTTATATCACCACATTCACCACATACCGTGGAAATCGCAGTTAGAGTCGGACTGTAACGACACAGATTTCACCAAACAGTGATCAGAAGTTACCAAAATTCCCTTTAATAAAATATTTGATTAAATTTCTTAATTAAAATCATTTGCTAATTATACATGTATTTTATAAATATAAATGTAATTTAAGACGATTAAATATTAAATGAAATTTATTTAAAATTAAAGAAGTGATGTAAACTTGTTCAGAAAAAGACTAATTGTCCTTATACAGGTAATTTATAGTAATGATATATTAGCTAATGCTCGTTATAAAGAATGTTGTAATACCGATATTAATTTATAATACTAATTTAACAGAAGTTAGTCAGTAAATGATCATAATCACCACTAATTCTTTGTACAAAATCGAATGGCAGCCTCCTACTGGACATCGATGTGTTGGTCGATTTCCATTGGTAGTGACGACCTGATGAAAAAAGCAGGTAGTCTATGGATGCAGGTGAATGAAGACTGTATTTAATGGGAAATCTATGAGGGGTCTACGTTTAGCAGTGGACTTGTGGTGAGCTGTTGTGCTAGTGATAGTGATAGTGTGATTTAACATACCAAATTAAATCATACACACAGTAAATTCATTTAAAGGGAACAATGGCAGCATATTACCAATTTTTTTATGAGCTTCAACAACTATGACTTGAACAAAATTTAGTATTTTAGTTTGCTCGTTATGGTTAAGTTGAAGCTGAGAAAAAATATTTGTATGAAGGGTGTATTTCATTAAAGATCTTGTACCTTTTTGTTTCAAATGTGGATGATTTAAGAAAAGTAATTTTTGTAGTAGTAATAAGTGTTTGCAGTTAAGAAAATTAAAACATAATCAAGTACATATACTGGATTATAAATAATCCCTTAAGAACATTTAATGTGTAATAAAATAAAATAGTTTCTATTTTTAGTACATTCTATCCTATTTATTCTATAGGTGTTTGAATATTTTAACTGAGGCTGGTACACATTGAAAAAGTTTACTTAACCTTATATGAGCACGTGAACTAAAGAATGTTTTGCTTTATTTTATACATTCGAAAGTTTATTTTTAGATTTTAACCATTGAAGTAATATGTACTTACGTACTAGAACAGCTATTTCAAACAAAAAATGTGCGCTACTCGTTTTTAAATCATAATATAGCTTTGCAATCTAATCTACAACAACGTGTGAGAAAATTACTAAAATATTCATACAAAATACAACCAGGTGACTCAGGACCTTGTTTTGAGGCATTGCTTGGCGTAGGCCAATGTTACGTCACAGCACTTCACAAGTATAGATCTATAACTTGTGAAGTGCTGTGAGGATGATGATGATGATGATAACAAGATGTCATACATCCATACATGGATCCGAGGGAATTTGTAACCCTTTTCATTTCTTACGTTTTTGAAATAAATTAGCTTAATTGCAATGGGTACAGATCGCAAATTTAAAAAGTCCAGATTCCCATCTTTACGGTTTTCTTTGGGCGGTTAACGGAGTGTTTATTTAAAAATACTTTCTTGATCAACAAGATCTCAATACGTCAGTTTTAACAAATAGCGTTTGGCAATAAATTAAACAATCTACCTGGTATCACCATTGATCTGTCCCATAACGTTCTGAACACGTCCGACCTAGCTGTACAAACAACAGTCACAACAGATAATGTTTGCGTCACAAACCTTTTGCATTGTTGGTGCGGTACAACTTATGTAACTAACGCCCCAATACAAACGCTACTCAATTTTTAAATGTCGTTAAATCGCCATAAAACGACGAGGAAGAAATAGTTATAGTTCCAAATATTTCTTCTTTAATTATGAGATTTTTCTACACAGAAGAAATAATAAACCATCGTCTCACAAGTTGATTTAATGAGATTTTATTATGAGCTAATGCTGTAGTGTAGACGCTACGACAATATATAAGTTATTAGTGTTAATGTAGAAAAAGTTTTTTTTATATAGGATAAGGGTAACAAACGAGCACACAGACTACCTGATGGTAAGTGGGTGGCCCATTGACATCCACATTTATCTTCAATTAAGAATCAAAATGTAAGAAAATAAACATAGGCAGAATTATCGGTAGATTGTATTGTCAAATAGGTAAATTATATCGAGAACAATTTTTAAATTTTGTTACTTATTTTGTATATTATATTTGCTTATTTAATATAATATTATATCACGATTACATATAAATGATATTTTTATCTAAATATTTTAAAAGGTGTCTATGTCAAATATTAAAATAAAACATACTAAATGTACGTTTAACAAAACTTATTAATACAACATTTAAATTACAAATATATTTATTTAAATTAGAATAAGAGTCGTTCATATGATGGCACGCGAGTTAAAAATGGACGAATTTATTCCACTTTGACTTTGATGTGGAAACCCAAAAATAAAAAAAGAATAATGAGCAGATTTAAATATAAAAAAATTAGCCTAATAATGATAGCTTATATGTTTCTATAAAAAAATGTGTTTAATAATATATTCATCCTATACTTAAGTACCCACAAAAATGTCGCATCTGAACAAATTAATTTCATAATCTATATTCCATGACACGAGATGGCGTCTTAGGAATAATTTATTTTATTACTAATCTATAATACTTTTTTATTGATTAAGTATCTTATTAACCGCTGAAAAGTAATTCCTTGGTTTTTACTGACATTTCTTGAATTATTTGTGCAATATCTAAGAATACACGACGGCATATTTTTGTCAAGGGCTTTTTATTAAATCAACACAACACGTGACAACTCTTCAAGCGCCTAGCGAGTGACTGATAGTGCGGTGTATGCACCGCAGTGGAGTGGAACAGAGTAGCTGAATGCAGTGTCGCCTCTAGTACGTAGTACATAATAGCTCAATGATTTTAACTTAATTTTACAGACCAAAATAAGGTTGCCATTCACAATGGCTTATATAGAGGTTTCATAGAGGCTCTGTAATTATTGCCCATGCTTCTATTTATTCTGTGCATGATATTTTTTATCTTTGTGGTTATAAATCGTTCATGGTCACCAATCACTATGTATATGTATTAATTTAACTGTTTTATATATAACGCTGCATGTCTTACCAGTTCGTCACTCCATCTAGTGGGGGGTCGCCCTACACTTCGCCTACCGGTACTAGGCTGCCACTCGAGAACCCTTCTTCCCCAACGGTTGTCGGTTCTTCGAGCTAAATGGCCGGCCCATTGCCACTTCAGATTACTAATCCGTTGGGCTATGTCGGTCACTCTGGTTCTACTGCGGATATCAGCATTTCTAAGTTTATCACGCAGAGAAACTCCGAGCATAGCCCTCTCCATAGCTCGCTGTGCGACTTTGAGCGTCCTCATACGGCCAGCAGTGAAGGACCACGTCTCAGTTCTATATGTCATCACTGGCAACACGCATGGTTGTTAAACTTAGTTTTCAGGTTTTGAGGTATACCTGACGAGAAGATGTATCGTAATTTCCCGAACGCTGCCCAGCCGAGTTGAATCCGTCGATTGACCTCTCGGTCGAAGTTGGACTTACCTAGTCGGACTATTTGTCCCAGGTAAACATACTCGTCAACAACTTCGAGCTTAACCTACCGGCATAGGTGTGACATGGACATTAAACATAATCTTTTTTTTGTCCATGTTCATCTTAAGACCTATCCGTTGGGAGTCACTATTGAGGTCTTTGAGCATAGTGCTTAAGTCCTCCAGCGATTCTGCCATAAGGACTATATCGTCGGCAAATCGAAGGTGAGTGATATACTCGCTATTGATGTTAATGCCTTTCCAGTCCAGTAGCTTGAAAACGTCTTCCAATGCGGCGGTGAAGAGTTTCGGGGAAATAACATCACCCTATCTTACACCTCTCTGCAGTTGGATAGGTTTCGTACTCTGGTTCTGTACTCGGATAGCCATTGTAGCCCTACTGTATAAACACTTCAGCACTTCGATATACCGACAGTCAACTTGGCACCGCTGAAGAGACTGTAGCACCGCCCAAATTTCGACGGAATCAAAGGCTTTCTCATAGTCCACATACGCCAGGCAAAGTGGCAGATTGTACTTTTCGGACTTTTGTGCAATTTTCCGAAGGGTATGTATGTGGTTTATGGTACTAAAGCCTTTTCGGAAACCGGCTTGTTCGGGAGGCTGGAAGTCGTCGAGACTGCGTGCGATACGATTCGTAATGACTCTCGAAAACAGCACGTAGACGCGGCTCTGAAGGGATATCCGTCTGTAGTTCTTCAAGGGGGCGTTGTCACCTTTCTTGAAGAACAAGACCACCGCACTTCTGCTCCACGCCTCCGGAGTAGTGCCACCATGGAGGACGGAATTAAAGAGCTCCTGAAGGACTTCAAGTATCGGTTTTCCACCTGCTTTCAAAAGCTCAGCTGTAATTCCATCTTCGCCTGGGAGCTCTCCTTTTTTAAGGTGCTGGAGAGTTACTCTAATCTTGCTCAGACTGACGTCCGGGATATCATCGGAATTGTGTCGGATAAGACTTGCTCTTGGATTGTTACTCACACTTGCGTGTGGCTCCAACGTTGATGTGTACAGCTGCCCATAGAACCTCTCAATCTCACTCAGAATCTCAGGTGTCCCGGAAACGATGCTGCCACACTCAGTCTTCAGCTTTGACAGTTGGCTCTTACTGGCAGACAGATCTCTGGCAAAGACTTTGGAGCCCTGGTTCCGCTCGATCGCTTCTTTCATACTGTAACGCTTCCCCCCTCTATATATATACACACACACATATATATATATATATATATATATATATATATATATATATATATATATGTATATATATATATATATTAAATATAATTAATTTAACCCTTTTCAATAAAATTATATATATGTGACCAGGATTAATAAAATATGTTTTGATCTTTCTAAATGATCTTTCAAAAGGTTTATCAATAGGCCGTTTGTAATATTTTTGGCGTGATCGTCTTAGTTAGGCCCTTATTTACGTTGTGTTTGTTTAGTAACTTAGTTCTTTAAGTGTCTTTTGTAAGAATGAATATTCACTAGAGCCATTGAAAGCTGTTGGTAGTGCCTTACAAGCTAAGTGAACGCCGTTCACGAAGACAGGGCTCGAGAAAGGTTAAGAACATAAAACATTCCTATTCCACTTGTATCAGGTTTACATTATTAATTTATTAGTATTTATCCCTTCCCGCTTGGAAAAGGCTCATATTTATACAAAATACCTGATACAGGGCTTCGCTCTCCTACATTTATATAAAAAAATGTAGGGGAGGCAGACGGCTCCACACACGCCGTGCGCGGTGAGCGCCAACCATTTTGATACACTCCCCCCGGAGGGAACGTTAATTCGGGAACTGCACCGTAGTCCACAGCAAAATAACTGGCGAACCAGTAAAAGAGGCTTGGCCCCTTTTTAGTGCGTAAGTACAAACATCGACTGAAGTCGCGCATGTCAATGCGTGTAAACGCCATACAGAATACGAACGAATCCAGCCACAGTGAATGTACGTCAAACGGTTTAGACAAATAGGCACTCTGGCCGTAAACCCTCCGTGAGCGCTATCACCTGCCAGACCGCCGCTCCTGCAGACGTGATGTAAGTGTATGGCATCACCACCAGTTGCATGATCAGCACAGCTACTAGCCGCAGAGCGTGTCATGAGTCTACCGCTCACCTCAAGGGAATGGGGTCCCACGTTGTGCGGCTTTCGGCCGCAGCCTTGAGAGTCTCCTCAGATCCTCCCGCCAGCTACCACCCGCATGAGGTCGACACATATGCTCCACCAATCAATACAACGGCAGATATAGCCAAAAGGCAGTTATAAGATAAGAGTAATAATTCGCCATCAGAAAGGATTTGTGTCACTGACGTTGAGTAAATGCATTTTCGATCATGTTTGCCTCACCCACCAACAAGTTACCTTCAATAATTCAAAGGTGGGAAAGTTACAGAGATATATTATTATGTTGTTATATAAAACATCGTGGAGAGCAGACAGTCTGCAGCCCCGGTGTGAGTCAAACCAAGACGCAGAGAGCGTCATTGAGAATAGCGTCCCACTAAACAACCATCGCAAAGACGCAATGCTGCATAACGCAACAAGCATGCGTCGAATGCGATGCGTCGAATCAGGCGCAGCACACCCGCAGATCCATCACAAGACGCAATACCGCAAGTAGCAGTAAGCATCAATGCAACTATCATACGGGTGGCGCCCGCTCACAACACACCTACATGATCCCTATCGACTTTGGTAACAAAGTTTGTAATGTTGTTAACTAAAAAATATCACCAACGTATCATAGTAGCACGCTACTAAGACGCTAGTGGATAAAACTCCACGTATCATAGCGCTAATGCACTAAGACATGAAGTTGAGTATGCCTGTTAAACTTAAAAATGCTACCAAACACACTCATCCCAATCCGAAAGATAGACGACGCATCGCTATACGCTACGACGCCGCCCACAAACGGTATAGGTTTGCGATGTCCACGGGTAAGCCGTATACAAATAAAATATACAACAAACCCGCTTACCACCAGCACCAAGATGATATGTTTAGGACACATCGGTTAGCGAGCCCAAGTTTACCTCGGATCAATTGCTCGTGAAGCAATTATGGTGGCGTGTATGCACGCCACCATAATATTCCTTTTCAAGTCCCTAATAAAGACCCGACCACCCCATATAATGCTTATGCATCAAGGAGACCTTCTATAATAATGCTTTTGTATCATAGACCTTACTTTCATAAGTCATTAATATGTAGGACTTCAACCCACGATTCTACTATTGTAATGCAAATTCATCATAGAGACCTTTCATAGTATTGCTTTTGTATTATAGACCAAACTTTCATAAGTCATTAATATGTAGGACTTGAACCCACGACCCTACTATTGTAATGCAAATTCATCATAGAGACCTTCTATAGTATTGCTTTTGTATCATTGAGTTTATTATTATAAGTCACTAATATAGTACTAGTCATTGTGCTACATTACTTCAAGCAGTCGGGCTCCCGACCACCCCATATATATGTACAACTGCAGGTATGTAGCTCCTCCATACAAGACATCTACACTACATGAAGCTCACCGCTTTCTCTTGTGCCTATTTTTGCGTTGAAGTCTCCCATCAACACCGTGTAATGGGTTTTGGAGGAACGCATGGCTCTGGAAATATCCTCATACATTTCCTCCACCTCCTCATCGGGATGTGCGGACGTTGGTGCGTAAACCTGTATGACCTTCAGCGAATACCGTTTGGTAATTTTGAGTATCAGGTACGTGAACCTCGTCGACACACTCCCAATTTTACAACGTTATTGACGAGAGATTTGTGGACGATAAATCCGACACCCCTTTGGGACAAATGGTCCCGGTGATAGAACAAGTTGCTAGTATAGATACACATACTAGTATAGATACACATATTATGTAAAGATATTATTTATGTCAAAACAAATACGAAATATATATGAAAATAACAGCTGGGTTAGTTCAAATATGCAAAGGTTTTTCACATGCTAATGGAGTTGATTTAAAAACAAACAAGTTTGTTTTTAAATCTTGTTGGAGTTTGGCAGTTTTTTAATATCAAGAGGAATGTCGGAAATATTTATTTATTACATAATTATAACATCATTACACTTACATTAACCAATGCGATGCTATAACTAACCCGTGTATAAGAAACCTACTGACAAATAAATAATGAAACTATTAACGTGACTATAGAATAAAATAATAATATAAAAAAATTAGAATTTTCAACGCATTTCTTTGCCGCAATTATGAATTTCGCGTGATTGCATACATTCATATATAATAAAAATCGGTCTTATTTATTATAAAATATTTTATTCAACATCACAAAAAATATTTTACATTCTAACAAAAGTCCATCGTAGTATTAATAAAAGGTTTAAGTTTTATTTCAAATTCTTTCCACGAACAAACGCCTTCGTTACAGATCGATATTAAAGGTTCTTCGTTCATATAAAATGCGACGTTATAATCTGTCGACTCCTCATTTGAACATCTAGAATAAAATTAAACAATTGATCATTTACTTACTCAAATAAATATGTAACCTATATGTAGTACGACTGTTTACTACAATGTAATATAATATATTAGTATAAAGCTTTATAATTGGTATAGTAGACCTTCTGTTAACTTCTGTGTTTTGAATATGTTTTCTGTGATGAGAGGTTTTTGTATTGTAGTTGTAGAATAAATAATTTATGATGCGTTTATAAACTCCTATTCTGGGTGAAAGAATTACAGATTTTTGTTAATCTATATTTATATATCTATATTATTTCCGAATTTCGGTCACGGTGGCAAGACTCATCGGAGAGCAGCCATTTGCGCAGGAAAGTATTATAGTGCACAAGTTAATGCGCAAACACAGTTTAATTGCCTATTCCCCACATCTCAAGAGACGGCAATCTGACACGACCGGAGAGAGATCAGACGGACGACCATTTAACGTGCTTTCCTGAAACGTGGGTAATTTCTTAAGAAACCGATAATTTATGTATTTTTTTATACAATAAGAGTGACGAACAAATACACAGTCCACCTGATGGGAAGTGGGAGCTGGGGCCCACAGACATCTACATCTTTTAGGAGAGGGAACATCTATTTCTTTCTTTGGGAAAAGCTTTTTAAGATATCTATAATATAGCTGTAGTCAAAGCTTCCTTGCGGACGACACACGAAGTAATTATTAAATTAGGCATGTTATGAATATTATATTAGGCATGTTATGAATAAATATTCATTTCGTGACCAGAATAGCGGTTACGGTTCGAGTTTTTAAACCGGTATCTAAACAACGGAATCAAATTACTGACAATATGTAAGGAAGTTTTTAACACTCGTATAAAATTTAAAAAATAATATTAAAACTACCTGCTAGGTACTTTATAGACTACTACTTGTAGAGTAACGTACAAACCAAGTTAGCTGCTGAAGAAATTCTGTTAATATTTAACGAAATATAGGCTCGATCCGTTTAAATTTTATCTCGCTCTTGTATCTCGGAGGGGTTGCAATGTAGTAAAGCGGGATTCCGCAACTCCATGGGCTCATGCATATGATAAAAACTGAGAAATCTCACACTAGCTAGTGAATCCGCACGTGTATTCGCAATATCATGAACTCATCAAAGAATCGCACAAAACTCTGTCAAATCTGTGACCCTTTCCGCATAGGTTCCAGCAGAGGCTGGACATGGGTCTCTCTCATTGTAGGAAGGATTTGCCTGAATTGTTATACTTGAGAGACCGATTGACGATCGAAATACCAGATGTCTTCCTCCGAAATACCTTCAACGCCGCTGCCCTTCGCCGGTCTGTGTATATAAGGTTTGGCTTGGAGATGATTATATTGCTATCTATCGTTAACATTATATATTCCATAGTTACCAATTACGACTACCACGTGGCGTAATGGGGCGGTAAACTTAAAGGTAGTGTTTGATCACTAAACCCGACCTGATGGTATTATAAGGTGTTTAATAAAGATTATATATATATATATATATATATAAAGAAATAATGCCGTAATAGTAATGATAAATTAACATTGTGCTATATAAAATATAATACATAATTAATGATTGTGAGTGAAATATTTAGAACCTGCTTTATTTAATTACAAACCTGTTTAAAGTTGCTATTAAATTGGCGGCAAAACAAGCCGTTTTAGATGATCTCCACTTCCTCTCAGGATTCCTAAAATCACTACGTAGAGGTATGTCATCATTAAATAATCCAAGGGCAGAGTATACCATATCCATCATGGTAGCGTGAGAGAAGTACACCGTAAGCTTCTTTCCTTTTCCATTTTTTGCCATATTAAAACTTTCTAGCAAGTCTGCTAGGGGAATTCGTCCAAACATTTTATTGATTGGATTACCATAACTATTTCTATAAAAATGCCTCAAGTCGCCTACGTACTCTACAGCTTGTAAGTCTTCTTTATTAAAAATCGCGCACCAAGGACTAAATACGTTATTTATTCCTGAGGAGGTATACCGGCATAAATCATATAAGGCTGTTATATTCTCGTTTGTCAACGTATAATTAATGCCCGTTCGCTGTTGTATTCTGTTTTTTACCTAGAATGTATTACAGGATAATTAGGATATATATATATATATATATATATATATATATATATATATATATATATATATATATATATATATATATATATATATATACGCTGCGTTTTCAAGGAAAATGTAAATATCTATAATTAATTTTATTTAATTTAAAATCACAATATTAATTTATCTTAAATGATCATTGAACACTAAACTTGAGTTTTCTAAAAGGACGTATGTAGAAATAAAAAAATAATCAAGGAAAACTTACTGCAAGATACTCTGATGTATTTTGGTACTTATTTGCTTCTGCATATGTTTCTTCATTATTTTTCACTTTCTTTACGTAGATACTACAAGCTTCATATGGCTATAATTTAATAAGTAAAATATGAATAACGACAACGCAAATAAGTTAGTAACTTGAAACACGTTTTTTTATTTGTATTTTTGTACTTACAGCTGTTATGTCATAGATGGGGTTTGATTTTTCAATTATCATTGACGTATTTCCGAAACCTTCCACAAATCCTTTTACCCCGTTTTCTATCCAAGCTCCATATGCTGAACGTAGCTTGTAATATCTATCATCCAAAGACGTAAGTAAGCCTTTAAATGCTTTCCTAATTCTGTATCCTATACCAAACATTTCTTGGTAGCCTTCAGCAGCAATATGGTGGACATTTTTAAACATATTTGGATCTGCTTCCCAATTATTTAAATTTTCTACATCTTGAGCACACATAGAGCCTTTACCATTTTCATGGTTCAATTTGACAGCGTATTTCATTGTTGTCGCATCTAGCATGTTCTGTGCAAAATCAATACCTGGGTTTCTTTTTCCATGTCTTACTAAACTCCAGACACTAATTACGTCACATCCTATCGATATTATGAATACGTTAAATAACAAGCTACGTGAAAAAATTTTACTGATGAATTACCGAAAAAAAAAACAACAGAAAAAATCTTATATTACTTACCTTTTATTTTAACAATTGAATCTCTGATATCTCCCCTGACAAACTGGTATGGCGTTTTGCTTGAAAAAAATTTATAGTGACAATTTTCGCTCCAGTAACAATTTGATATTGACAATTTTATAACAGTAAGGACTATAAACAATATTGCTATAATTTGCATTTTTACTCAATGGAAGCTATTTTTTTTATAAAATGTATAATATATTTTTTATAAAATATATAGTAGAACCCAACAACTTTTATGAGCACTACAAGCAACTAAATTAAAACGTTTATCGCTTCGTGTATATGAACTGTATCTAGCCATTACCGGTTTCAGCACGGAAGCTTATTGCGTAATATTAATACCATTAAAAACATAACTTGTAAAAAAACCAAGTCTCGCAACTCAGTTCTTCCACCGTAAAAGTTGTGAGATCCATGTAATACCAAGTCGGTTAATTTATTCAGTTCTTAAGGGTCCTTCTGTTTTAAGTTATTACGTAGTTAGCTAACCTAACAACATTTTATGGGACCATATCAATTTTAAAAGTCTTTTATGTTTTAAATATATAGATTGTCTTGGCCATCGCATGAAACCACAATGTATCTCACAAGTAACACGTATTATATTAAATTAGATTGCTTAATTCGATTGCCAAGTCAATCTATATATTTAAAACATAAAAGACTTTTAAAATTGATATGGTCCTATAAAATATTGTTAGGTTAGCTAATTACGTAATAACTTAAAACAGAAGGACCCTTAAGTAGGAACTGAATAAATTAACCGACTTGGTATTACATGGATCTCACAACTTTTTACGGTGGAAGAACTGAGTTGCGAGACTTGGTTTTTTTATAAGTTATGTTTTTAATGGTATCTCATTTCTTTTTGCATATAAGATAGTCCTAATTTTTTACCTTTCCGGTACCTTCTACTTCTTGAGTACCAACAACGTACCTATGTACTTATACAGATACAAGTACACTGATTAATTCACTGCAAATGTAACTTTGTAATTCTATATATTTATATGGGATTAATTATGCTGTTAGTGTACCTAAAAAACTGGACAGAAATTAACAAATGTTTTAGTTTTTCCTTGATTTATATATATATGATACACTAAACACTAATTGTATTCTAAATTTGAAGCTTCTATGTCTGCTAGAAGTGCCTTAGAGTTTTGATGATCGGTCAGTCAGTGAGTGACAAAATTAAGAAACTTTGACTGGTTACAATTTTTAAACTACTGGTTCAAATTGAATGAAATTTAAAATATATACCATGTTCATGCAATGCTTACTCGGTTACTGAAAATTCAGGCTTCTAGTTTTATTGACCACGAAATTATAAGGGGTCGAAAATGGCCTGAATTGCTTCGAGAAAAGATGGTACGGCCGTGCCGCTTTTATGCTCGACTTGGCGGGGGCACTGCCGTGCCCCCAGATAGTTCTTTGTTTTTAGATAGTTAATAATATGAATACTAATTTTGTGTATAGATAACTTTTTGAATTCAATGCATAGCAAATGGATACTTGCAGTTGCAACTAAGGCCACACTGATATACTCGTATAGTCAGTACTAAGATAAAATAACTCGTAGCCTGTAATTATATTCACTCAGTTATATTCTCAAAACAGGAAAACAACTGTGTGTGTACTTATGATGACAATACAGGCACTGTTTTTTGTTTATATTTTTTATTTTTTCTGACACCTGCACTAATAAGCCTTTTCAATGATGTGCCAGTCAGAATGATAACTTGGAAAGAAATCACTTTTTTAATAGACTAAGGGCCACAAATGAACACACAGTCCACCTGATGGTAAGTAGAAGCTGAGGCCAATAAACATTAATATTTGTATGCGTTGTGGACTAATAATAATGAATTGACGGGTGCGCTAGATGTGAAAACTGTTGTCTGTGCGGTGTCAGCCACGTTACGTGCTGGGCACGCTACGTGCTGGGCACGCCACGTGCTGGGCACGCTACGTGCTGGGCACGCCAAGTGCTGGGCACGCTACTTGCTGGGCACGCTACGTGCTGGTAGATCTGAACGGAGCTTTAAGCTGATATATACAATGTTTCGTAAGTTTATACCAAATGTTATGTCCTAACTAAGAAAATAAACCTGCAGTAGTCACAAATATTGTTTTCTCTTACCTAAAGTAATAATTATTTTCTCCATTAATATTCACTTCTTTGAATGGCGGCGGAAACCATAATTTATAAATATCCAATTAACTTTATAATTCGCGAATAAAAGTACACATAAATTTTTCACAATAAAATGTTTATGTGATGAATATTATGTGATACGATCATAATATTAATATTATGTATTTTATTTGTTTTAACATATCTAAGAGTTTTATTGCACATATGATAACAAAACATAGTGCTAAACAAGATTATTGTATTTAATTAAGTAAAAAATCTTTTATTTTTTTATCAATTAATTAAGTAAAAAACTTTGGTTACTCACCTTTAAAATAAAGCCAATCTTAGGTAAAGATTATTGGTAAACTAAATATATAATAATAATAAAAAGTCAGGTCAAAATACCCACCAGCAACAGACCGTCATTACCACTCGTATCAAAATAATAGAAAAAGTTGAAACATGAGTCCATATGAGACAGGGGAAGATGACATGTTAAAATTCAATACTATATTATATAGTATATAGCTCTATATAAAATATGTGTTACTTTTTACGCCTACCTTCCCAAAAAAAAAAAGAGTAAGCAAAGCAAGATAAGTTTATTTTAGTTATTTTCATAGCGATATCTCTTATGGTCTCTTGCTATGGGGAAATGCGGTCGATTTAGAGCGAAAAATTTAAAGAAATAAATATAATAAATAAAATAGCCATTCTATAAATACAAACAAGCTTGTGATTGTACCTAACACAAGCTAGTGATACCAGTTTCTCGAATTCACAGAGTCAGAAATTGATTCCTGGGGCATTGTATACGCTATTACAACAAAGTCCCAGAAAATATGCAAGGTTTAAATATTTTATAAAAAAAATGTATAAAATGGGTTATTATGATCTAAATGAATACACGGTTGACAATAGCTCCTTTGAATGAGGTCTCCAAGCTGTTCCTAAAATTATTATATATATACGGATTATCCTTACCCTCAATCATAGAATAGAATAGAATAGTTTTTTTATTCAAAATAGATTACATGTAATTCTTATTGAAAGTAATTTTTACTCTTACGTTTTACCACTGGCTCGGAAAACTCGGACAAAAACCTCTGGCTTGGGATGAACTAGAGTGCCTTTCACCTTTCTGAGGTCGAAGCGGAGGTCGCACGTAGCTACCACCCACGGGTGAGCCCTTAGAGCCTGCGACTGTCAATGAAGCCACGTAACTAATTAAAAACCTTAAAAAGAAATCATCACCCGGCCCCGACGCCATTAGCAACAGGATGCTTAAATCGCTCTCAGTGCCACTTGTTTGCCTCCCTGTGGGCATTTGCAACGCCCTTCTATCCAACTGCTCCTTGCTGGATACCTGGGAAGAAGCGGACATTTTAGAAATCCCGAAAGCAGGGATACCGCGCAACTTAGCCACAAGCTACGAACCCATTAGTCTCCTCAACACACTTGGGAAAATATTATACGAACGACTGCGGTGAACATTAAATCGCCTCCAAACGTTAGGCTTCAGAACCGAACACTAGTGCACCGACAAGTTACATCGCCTCACAAAATAGATTTTGAAAGCTTTCAACCTCCTAAAAAGAGGTCGCAGGAGCACTAAGACTGGCACCCGCTTCTTTGATGTCACAAAAGCGTTTTACACAGTCTGGCGCGACAACAAGCTGTATAAACTCAACGTGCCTGATAGGCTCACTCACACCATCAGGGCCTTTTTTGCCAGCAGCCGTTTTCGCTATCGATTAGAGGGTACCCGTTCATCAAAGCTTCCCCTTAAGGTTAGAGTCCCTCAAGGCTGGAGTCCCCCAAGGCTCTGCCGCTCCCCACTCCTTTTCACACTTTTCACGAGTGATATCCCTAAAGACACAGTAGTTAACACTCCTCTTTTCGTCGATGACACGGCACTTTTCGTTGCCCATCACAACAAAAGTATTCTCACAAAGATGGAGCATCATTATTTTCCATTAACTGCTTAATTGATTGGTTTCGCTCATGAAGAATCGAAGTGAATCCTGAGAAAAGTGTAGCAATATACTTTCAAAAGACCTCCACTCGCAAACGTCATAACACAAATCCCGATAAATGGCAATCAACAGCTAAATATCTGGGGGTCACTTTCGACCACGGCATGACCTTCGCGAAACATATTTGCTCCGTTCGCAACAAATACGAGTCAGCCGTCAGAACCGGAGTCTGCCAGCCCCTGTTCGGACAGCTGTTAGATAACTCATTTACATGCACTTTCAACTGACGTGGGTGAACATCGTTACGCAAGTAACGACGCAGAATGACTTAAATTTATCCCCTTTATATTTTTAGCTTGCAGCCTTTATGGCTGCCCTGAGACCAATAAAGTTGTAAAAGCCAAACAGCACATATATCACAGAAACTAGAAGAAAACTAAATGAAGGATCTAAACCGTACTCAAACGCCAAAATCACAAAAATAGCTTTTTGCCGGTTGAATCCTTTTCTAGATACGTTCAAACAAGGTCATCTTAAAATTATTTTCAGAGGTAAATTATGGATAGAAATACATGTAGAGATACTATTAATATAAGTCGTATTGACTAAGTATATCTTCATAAGGAATATAAGATAATTAACCGTGATAACTCAGAAGCTAAGCGCTCGTCATAAATTTAAGCGTGAGCAACCCGGATTTGATTCCCGCTGGCTCACAATTTTTAGTGCTGACTTACCACGTGCACAGCGGTGAAGGAAAATATCGTGAAGAAACTAACATGTCTGAAGAAAAAGCGCGGTGGACATTTCCTTTCCACAAAAACCCTCTAAGAAATGAGAGGGGTAGTAGTGGGACGTATATAGGTTGTAACTTTAACTTTTAAGATAATTATTATAGATATTATTGTTGTCATATAAATGACAATTAAATAAAGATCTTAGTTGTGCGTGCCATAACAACGGCCGACGAAGCGTTATAAGAATATTTTAAGACATATCCCAGCATCCTGGCTCTATTTTAGGTTAGGTTAGAACTTC